TACCTGAAAGATGTTGTGAATGTTAGAAATTAAATTTGCTTTTAAATTTGCTCAAATTTACTTAGCTGCAGGACGGTCAGCCCTTTATATCCATCTTAGTGAGAAGTGCCATCAAATCCTGGGAGGAGACTTTTGGGAGAGGTAGCACTGTAGAATTTGAACTTAGGGCCTCATGCTAACTAGGAAGGTGCTCTACCACTTGACTCAAACCTCCAGTCCTTCTGAAGTCTTTAGAGAAATAATAGGAATAATCTAGCCGGGTGCCAGTGGCTCACACCTGTAATCCTAGCTACTCAGGAGGCTGAGATTTGAGGATCACCGGTCAAAGCCAGCCCAGGCAGGAAAGTCCATGAGACACTTAGTTCCATTTAACCAACAAAAAACCGAAAGTGGCACTGTGGTTCAAAGTGGTAGAGTGCTCACCTTGAGCTGAAGAGCTGAGGGACAGCACCCAGGCCCAGAGTTCAAGCCCCATGACCCACAAAAAAAAAAAAAAAAAAAGGAATAAGCTCAATTTTTAAAGGATAATTTAACCCCTTAAATCCTTAAATTAGAAAATTCTACTTAATAATTCATGGGAGTTAATACCCAGATAAAAATAAAACTCAGGCCTCCAATATGACCTCATTCACTTGCTCTATTTTAAGTAAGATTATTTGAGATTTGGCAAATGACTCTGTAGAATGGCAAAGATGTCAGTGTTCAGTGGGGTGGGTTTTCTCTTTCCTTCCAGTATTCTAGGAGATGAAGTTACGGGAATCTGGTCCAGACACGCTGAGAAAGCCGACGTCAACTGTGCGTGTGCATCTCATTCGGGAATCAGCCTTGTCACAGGAGACGACTTCGGCATGGTTAAGTTATTTGACTTCCCATGTCCAGAAAAATTTGTAAGCTTGTGTTTATCACTTTACTTCTAACTTAAGTGACCATTCATTAATATTTCCCCCTCAAACTTAACAGCATGTTTTGTCCTGGTTTAAAATATTTGCTTCCAAAATCTACACCATGAAAATAAAGCTATTAGAAACATATTCCTCACTCCAAGTAATAATGCTTGAATAAAGCTAATAAGCTTTATCCTTTTACCAAACCTATAATTATCCAAATTTCAAATGCTTTTCCTTAGAACGTATTTTCCTAGGACTGGAAAATCGGACTGCCCACGTGACCTGGTTTTTGTGTTACATGCAGATGTATTAACCCTGAAAAGCATTTTAATCATTGGCTGTGGTCCAAACTCCTTTTCTCCATAGCTCTGACAGCTTGACTTTTGTGTGCATCCAATGTCCTGAAGTATATCATTGTTGTTTTAGGCAAAGCACAAAAGGTTCTTGGGTCATTCATCCCATGTGACAAATATTCGATTTACCAGTGGTGACCGCCATGTTGTTAGTGCTGGAGGTGATGACTGCAGGTCAGTAACTTTCACAGCCCAAGAGCAGGATGCTTTGTTTACTAGTTAAGAAATTTAGTACAACAGTGTCTCTAAGCTCTGGCTAATGACCTCAGCACTACTTGGAGGTAGTATAATTAAAGACTAGAGCCCTAAGCTTCCTCATGAGTTAATGAAGTGTTACACATCACTCTTCAATGCTGGGGATCAAATCCAGAGCCTTGCACCTATTAGGCAAACACTTTTACAGCAGGCTTTTTTTTTAAAAGAAAGGGCTCACTTTGTAGCCTCAAACTTGTGGATCTTGCTTAGCCTCCCAAATGCTAGCATTGCAGATAGATGCCACCATGCCTGGCACACATGTATGATTTGAAAACTCAACTGAAGACATTCAACTGTTCTGACAAATGCCAAAATGTAATGAATTTCCTGTAATATTTTTTTCTGATGCAGTTTATTTGTCTGGAAATGTATACATATGCCTCACTGAAAGATACGGACGTTGAGAAGACTATACAAATTAACCATTTTGAGAGACCAGAATTACAGAAGGAAAAAAAAAAAAACCAAATCCAAACTCTTCATGGTCATGGTGCTAACTGAAGACTGTAACAGGGAGGACTGCCCAGAATCATCACAACAGTAGAAAAAACGTTTATGTTCCTATCCATAATCCATGCACTGCCACATAATAGTCTTTCAAGGAAGGACTGGATACCGTGGTGAGAGACCTCTTTGATTGTGTGCAGCTGTGACATACCAGCCAGGACGAAGCACTCCTGTGCTGGTGCATGCCTCTAACCTTGGCACTCAGGAGACTGAGGCAGGAGGATTGCAAGCTTGAGATCAGTGTAGGCTTACATAGAGACCACATCTCAAAAGAAAAAGCTTTACAACTCAACTTGGACATTTTTCATCTTTTCTGTTTCTCTTTAGCACTTTATTTTCAAGGTTTCTTGCCCCATGAAATCTTTTATTCTTGAATTTCTTTTAAGAAAAACCATTAGTATCTTGCAGGTGTGGTTGCAAGATAAGGTTCCCCATCTATGTCAGACCACGTAAGGCCCACAGAGCCACTGGGGGTGCACACACTGCCTGCGGCTCTCCGCCTGCATTCGTCGTTTAGGATGGCTCTGTAATGTCGTAATGTTCAGATGGTGGGCAAGAGATGCAACTGAAGTGGGAGACAGCCTGCCTAGCAAGCAGGAGGCCCTGAGTTCAAACCGCCAGCACCATAAATAAATGAACGAACGAAAGAATAAATAATAGGCTCTTAGTAGAAGAAAAGGTTCTCCACCACAAGGATTGACCAGTGTTTTTTTTTTTTTGGTCCGGTCGTGGGGCCTGAACTCTGGGCCTGGGCACTGTCCCTCAGCTTTTCAGCCCAAGGCTAGCGCTCTACCACTGGAGCCACAGCACCACTTCCGGCTTTTTTCTTTTTGCTTATGTGGTGCTGAGGAATCAAACCCAGGGCCTCAGGCATGCAAGGCAAGCGCTCTACCACTGAGCCACCTTCCCAGCCCCTGACCACTGTTTTTAAGACAAACATTTTCCCTAAGGAAAGGGACAAAAGCTTTCTGGGAAAATATAATGTTCTTTACAAACTAATGAAATCCTTTTTTGTTGTTGGTCATGGGGCCTGAACTCTGGGCCTGAGCGCTGTCCCTCGGCTCTTCAGCTCAAGGCGACCGCTCTACCACTTGAGCTATAGCGCCACTTCCGGTTTTCTGGTGGTTTATTGGAGATAAAGAGTCTCATTGACTTTCCTGCCCAGGCTGGCTTTGAACCATGATCCTCAGATCTCAGCCTCTGAGTAGCTAGGATTATAGGTGTGAGCCACCAGCGCCCAGTGAAATCTTTATAAAGGACACTTCTTGCTATTTGAATTCAGAAACAGATCCAAAATTAGTAATATATACCTGTTATATTTTCACTTTTGAGCAATGAATCAGAAGCCATCTTTATGAAATTTGAAAGCATACTTATAGCCTCATTAATGGAATAGTATGATGAACACACATTTCCAGTGGTGTACAGTTTTGTTAAGTTCTCAGCAATGTATTTATGGATACTGCATACTTAAGTGTGGTCTAATATGTAAACATTTATCATGTAAACAAAAGTTTAGTTTGCACATTATACAATTTAACTCTTGGTACAAAATTTTATATTCTTTTTTCTATTGTAAAATTTGTTTAGGTGCAAATATGCCACCCCACAGACTAGTTTCCAAAATGAATGAATCGGGTGGGGGAGATTGCTTTCACTTTAAATGCTGCCAAAGATCAATACCATCCAGGACATTGCTATTTTTAGTCCACCTGTAGTTTCCTGAAGATTAAAGATTACATGAACTGCTGTTTTCAGAAATATATATTTTTTTAAGTATGAAGAAGTTGAAGTTGCTCTCCTGTCCTATCAATTTTTATTTTACTGTATTAGTTATATTTGTAGCCTAATAGGTTCCCCTCCCTCAGGCATTTAGAATCTTTTTGCTGTACAAGACACATGAAGATTTCATTTTCTATGGTCACACTCTGAAAATACAAAGCAAAATGATGAATTTACTACATTACAGAAATCTCCGTGGTGACTCACACTGGTCACTTCAAAGCTGAATGGCCTCATTTGAATACTGATGGAGGCTAGAAACTAGACTTATTATCACGCACATGAAAGGATTCTCCTACATTGGGTCAAATTTTAGAAAAAAAAAATGAATGTATTAATTTCTGTTCAACCTGTTTTACCATGTAGTAGACAGAAGTTAAAACTCTTCTATAAAAAAGACAATTACTACTCCAAATTTGAGCCTCTTGTAAGTTATAAATTCTCTCTCGGCATCAAGTTAGCCAGCTTTTGGCTACAGAGAAATGTCAGTTCTACTGTAGGTAAAACCTTAAGCAACTAAACTATAAAGATAAAGCTACTTACATTGCATTTTTGCCCTTCAAAGCAGCCAACATCAAACCAGACTAAAGCACTGCTGTGGTCAGTTTCATGACTGAAGGTCCCTGTTGACTGTAAAGTCACCTTATGTGAACACCTATTGTTAGCCCTCAACTATAGGAAGATGAGAAAAGGCCACAAACCACGTAAAATCTGTCCTACTTTTCTTAACCTAGAGAATTTTTTTTCTTCACTAACTTCCTGAATTTCTAATCTGATACTAGTGGTCATTTTACAGTTGAGTCTGACTATTGTGTGTCCACTTCATCCCCATTGAATCCAGGGCTGGCGACTGAACCCAGAGCCTCCAGTTAGCTGGGCAAGCTCTCCACCACTTGAGCTATATATAACCAGCCCCCAATTCATTTCATAGTTGTATGTATTTATATTATGCCAAAACACACCTCACACTCTCATTTCACAATCAGCAGCCTCACCCAACCTGTCCTCTTTCTTTTTATGATGGTTGAATTTAGAAAAAGCCAAGAAATGTTTTAGGTCCAACTTTAGCTTTTCATAAACCCACAGCAAATGAAAGATAAAAATCTATGAAACGGTAAAGTAAATAAGATTGTAGAATGAGGCTTCCTTATAAGAAAAACTGAACATATGCCCTTGTTCCCCATTTTGTGTGGAATTATGAGAACATCACTATGAATCATTTATAAATAAAAAACTGTATTTTCAGAAATAGAAACATTTTAAAACAAAGTTCTTATGCAAAGATGCAACACATCTTAACACTACAATGAAAACATGCCTTAAACATACACTCAGAATGAAGTAGAACCGTCATTTCACGTATGCCTAAACACAGCAGCTTCAGGGCAGGCCCTGTGTGTTTGCTGCCTTTGGTCTTGAGTGTTTACTTTGGGGATGGTACAACCAAGTTCAAGTGGATTCTTTTATTTCCTAGGGAAAGAATAATGATTCCAACAGCAGAAGGCTGGCTTACAATCTTAAACATGAACTTTCACAGTGTTTATTATCCATCTTTTGTGCATATGACTATGTGCTAATCAGTTAACTTTTAAAATTTTTACAGTGTAATTTGGTCCTGAAAATATTTGAGAGTCTATAATTCCTTTTCTAGTAATTCACCCTTTACTAACCACTTCATAAAGCTTTTAATTTTGAAAACTACTATATATACATTGAGTCTTTGAAATCAATTTTCCATGTTAATTAATTTTCAAACATGACACTTCTTGCCTTAACAATTATAAAAACCAAACACACAAAAACTCCATCATCAATACAGTAGGCCAAGTTTTGTTGAATTCTGTATTTACCCATCTGAGCGCTCTATAATTATATAGTTCTGTCATTTAAAATATACTACTTAAATCTAGTTTTTACATTTCAAAAATTATCTTCGGTAATAACTAAGTATATTTTCGGTAGACTTATTTCTGAGTATGTTATTTTTCAGAATGTGGGAATATATATATGTATATAATCTTGTGAGTTTAAAGTCTGTTTTCTGGTACTTTATGTATATACTTGTAAAAACTTTCCTATCATTTTGTGATAATGTAGTCCCCAAAAAAATTTATTTTAAAAGTATGTTAACAGTAAATGAAATCATTTTAAGGAGCTGTTTATGTCTTTTGTACTTGTTTTCACCCTACATGCCACATCATTCACAGAAGGCAAGGGAAGCATACTACCAAAGTAGTGACCACGTGGCTGTTATTATCATGCTTTTCTAAGTGTGTTCATTTAACAATTAAAAGCAGATTTGAACGGCTACTTTAAGCTGCCTCACAGTACCTCTGGCCCCTCATTACAAACACATGCTCTTTGGGGAAGCACTAATTCAAACTTTCAGGACACTGGCCTCCTGACAGTTCTGCTCCAACTGCAGTGCTGTCAAAGATATGCCACTGCAAATGCTGTTTAATAGCAGTAGAGCTGTTCCCAAACTGCCTTTCCACTGTAAAAATAAAATAGCAACAACAAAACCCCAATGTTAAAATCACTTAATAAACTTACAAACTTGAAAAATTAGACACTTCAAATAGGCAATAAACTTCGTATTATGATAGCAATATATTCCAAGCTTCAAAGATTTGACAAGTTCAATAGTCTTTCATCAAACTGCACGATCTTCTGCCAGCTAAGACTGGGTGTCATTCGCTGAATAAACAAAAGAAGAAATTATTTTGTATATAAGGCAGATAATGAAATTCATACAAAACACACTAAAATATATTGAAACTTAAAATTCTTAGTCACTAATTTCTTCTCAGAAAACTGGTTTGAAGTTTGTAAGCGGTGGCATAAGCATACATCACACATACTCCTGATGACTTAGAATGCTTTCAGTGTATGGTCAGAAGGTAAAGAAACCTGATCTAAGAAATCTGATCTAAGGAGATACAGATTAAAAGTAATCAGCCTGGCACTGATGGCTCACACCTGTAATCCTAGCTATTCAGGAAACCAGTCTAAGCAGAAAAGTCAGTCTCTAAGTAACTAGGAAAATGCTGGCATTGGATGTGGCTCAAGTGGTAGAGTTCCAGGCATGAGTGTGCAAGCCTAGAGAAAATGAGCCATTCATACTCCCAAACTAGTAAACAAATGGGGAGGGGCAATCACTTGGAAAATAAGTATTAGTAAATCCTTTTAACTGAAGGATACTAGACTAATTTAACAGCATGTAGGAGGGGAAGAATCAAAAGGAGAGTACAATATCCCCCCGATTTGTGTGTTTATGCATTTAAGAAGTTATATTCTGTAGTTGCAAAAGACATGAGGAACAGTCATTTAAAGTACCTAGTTTGTGGTCGAATCCACTTCAAGGCATGTCTTGGTGGTACAGCAATGGTGGGATGATAAAATGTGCAGTCCGGTCTTGTGCACTGAGTGTTAAATCTACAGTGCTGAACAAACAATAGATTTTCAGCCACATTTGCAAGATTAATACAAATGAACCTACAATAACTGGACATGACAGTACTTAAGCCACCCTAATTAGCCAACAAAGAAACCTCCATTTTAATACTATTAAGGCCTTGAAAAATAAGAACTTTCTCTGGGAACACAGAACAAAGGCCAAAAATCATAGGTGATTCTTTAGTATTACTTTAGTATCACTGCAAGCTTCTTCTGATCAGTGTAGCAATCATCCCTGCAGTCTGTCTAATATCCCTCACTCCTCACAGTTTCTTTTTGCCCAAGTACAGCTGGTAAAACTGCCTTCAGGCTGCTATTTAGAGAGTGCAGCTCACTGGCTGGATCTAGATACATCAATTGATGGTTCACACACAAGCAAAACTGGTACAATTTGTATGATATTGGATTTCTTCATCTCAATTCTGGTCTAGCAAGAGGTAAAAAAAAAAACAACACAGGTAAGAACATCTGGGAGACTCTATCTACAACTAATCAGCAAAAAGTCAAAAGTGGGATTGTGGCTCAAGTGGTAGAGTGCTAGCCTTGAGCAAAAACACTCAAGACTTGATAGTGCCCAGGCTTTGTGTTTAAAGTCCAGGATAACTGGTGTGCATGCATGACATATACACACACATACACAAAAGCTCAGATGAACACGGATAATGAGTCAAATAGAACTCATTCCTTGAGGTTAAGCTACTACCGTGAAGCCAAGCGCCGGTGGCTCATGGTTCAAAGCCAGCCCAGGCAGCTTTTCTACTTAGGGACTATTATATAGCGGCACTTCCATTTTCTGGTGGTTTATTGGAGTCTCAGGGACTTTCCTGCCTGGGCTCACTCTGAACTGCAATCCTCAGATCTCAGTCCCCTGAGTAGCTGGGATTACAGGCTTGAGCTACCAGCACCCAGCTGATAAGGAAGATCCTTAAGAAAGTGAAACTGAGGGCTGGGAAGGTGGCTCAGTGGTAGAGTGCCTGCCTTGCATGCATGAGGCCCTGGGTTTGATTCCTTAGCACCACATAAGCAGAAAAAGCCAGAAGTGGTGCTGTCGCTCAAGTGGTAGATCACTAGCCTTGAGCTGAAGAGCTGAGGGACAGCGCCCAGACCCAGAGTTCAGGCCCCACGACCAACAAAAAAAAGAAAAAAAAAAAGTGAAACTGAGAAGGAAAACAAAAGGGCAAGACAGCCGATTTCTCATCTACTTTAGAGTAAGACATACCACTGAAGCAATTTTTTGGAAAATGAAGGTTCTTACTTTTGGATGATAGAAAGGACACTCCATTTTCTTACAAGCTGGAAAGTAACGGCAGAGCTGACCACTAGAGGATGGTGATGGTGTTGTAACTACAAACAAAAATCAGAATTAAAGCTGATTAAAGCTATTGGCAAAATACAATTTAATGCAGTCTAGTGTATTTTTAAGGTGATGAGAACCACTAAGAATAGTAAATTTTATGCATTCATGACTTAAAAACAAAATACTCAGTTTATACACTGGGTAGACTTGTTCTTTGTCAAATTACAGCTGCTCCTTTTTTGCGCTGACTTTCATTTCCAGTCATTTTACCCTCTCCCCCCTGCTGTGGTAGGCAGCCCACTCACCTGGCTTTGGGGGCAGCACTGGCGCTCTCCTGCTCAGGTGCGTGAAGGGGCAGTCTGGCTTAGTGCACTTAGCGTCATATTTACAATTTGGATGAACAAACAAACATTTTTCAGCAAATTTACAATTGGGGAAGGCTCTAAAAACAAAAAAGCATACTATTCATATGTAATATTGTCAATGCATTATCACTGTTCTATAGAGGGGCTTCTTATAACTTCATTACAAATTATTTTGAGAAATGCCCAGGTTCTGAAAGCATGAGTAGAATGATAAAGCGCCTGTGGAAAAGTAATGGGCTAAGTATGTAGCTCAATGAAAGAGCACTGACCCAGCATGAAGGACATCCTTGCTAACCAAGCATGTTACCACTTGAGCCATGTCCCAGTCCTCCTGCTCTGAGTTCTACGGGGAGAAGTCCTGTTTTTCCCCAGGCTAGCGTTAGACCATGATTCTCCTCTCTCTCTGACTTCCAAGTAGCTGAGATGACAGGTGTGTGTCACTCCACACAGCTTGCTGAGAGAGGGTCTTTCTTTTACCTGAGATAACCTTAACTTGCAATCCTCACAAAGCTCATTACATTCAGGAGGAAAACTTTAAGTCTAGGATACTTTTTTATTACCGGTAACTTTCTCCAATGCCCCTCAGAAAAACTTGATAGGTGAACAAAATGTCACTAAGTGGTACATTTACATCTAGCTCCTTTAATGTACGTACCCAGTCCCCAAGACACTAGACATTCCACAGTATCACATGATATGAATAATAATGAAACCTCCTATTCATGCACATACACACCAACTCAAACTTACCTAAAGAAACTACAAGCTCTTCAATACAGAAATGAAGTTGCACCGGGTGCCGGTGGCTCACACCTATAATCCTAGCTACTCAGGAGGCCGAGATCTGACTATTACAGTTCAAAGCCAGCCGAGGCAGGAAAGTCAATGAGACTCTTTATCTCCAATAAACCACCAGAAAACCGGAAGTGGCGCTGTAGCTCAAGTGGTAGAGTGCTAGCCTTGAGCTAGGTGCTCAGGGACAGTGCCTAGGTTCAGAGTTCAAGCCCCATGAATGACAAAAGGGAGGGAGGGAGGAATGAGAGGGAAGGGAGGGGAGGGAAGGAAGTGTTACCAAGCACCAACGTGCTCCTACTCACTTGCAAGGCGCGACAGGGTGATGGTACACGCACTCGTCCCCATTTTTACAAGCCGGCCAATACTTGCAGCGTTCCAACAGCTTTTCTGGCTTCTGCGCCATACTCAGTTCACTCATCTCAGCTATGATGTGGAAAAGATTCAAAACATCTTATTATGATCAATTCAGTACAGACCCTTTAATAAATTCCTCCCCCAAACACCCTTACAACCTACAAAAATAAATGAGCCAGATAATCTGGTAAACTCTAGTAATATAGTATTCCATATTATAAAGTTCTCATATAAAAAGGAAATCAAGTGATTCTGCACCTTTGGCCTAGGTTTTCACCAAGAATTCTAAACCTATCATTTCAGAACATGAAAGTAAAAGGAAGGATGGCAAAAGGGAGCCAGTAAAGTTAAAGGAAACTGAAAACACTTAGGAAGAAAAGAACAAATTCTCACACAAGTCCAGTGCTAAACATACAATGGTGTCAAAAGAGGAAGACATCTTTGCTTAAATGCTGCTGCCTACAGAGGTCACGCAGGTCATCCCACAGAGCAGGTCTGGCTGGATGGGGAACAGTAACCCAGGAAGCAACCACACGGAGCACTTCCAGAGCGCAAGCCTCTGCACTCACCACACACATCCAATTCCACTGGCAACTATGACAGGAAAGTGGGGTCAGTATTGCCACATCTTTTGCTTTAGTATTTAAAAAACCACAAATATATTTTGAATTTTAACAACTAGTTTAACTTTAAAACACTGAATAAAACAAAACTATAGCTGAGACACCCTAGCTATTAAAAAAAAATGGCATCAGAGGTGTTATGCATTGTGGGTAATGAGTGCTGTGTATTACATGTGGAGAAAAGCATCACTTCAGCCATGTTCTTTAAATCCTCCTGCACAAGGGTAAGGCAGAGTAATCTGGCTCTTCTTCACCTTAGCTGCTTGGACACTTCAGGAAAGGATGTTTAACATCTTTCAACTTAAGCTTCTCCCTCAGTACAAGGCTAGATCCTCTTATACGTCAGAAGATGATTAAATGGAAGAACACAAACCAGATCGTAATCTAACCCACTATTCAAGTAACACCACTTCTGTCCTCCCTACACATCGTGACACACAAATCCTGTCAGAAGGCCCCAAAATGAACATCATCAGATAACACATAATTTTTCTCTAAAAACACCAGAGCTTATGGCACTACTCAGGATGCTGAGAACTAAGACTCATGGTTCAAAGCCAACTGAGGCAGGAAAGTAAGTCTGTGAAACAATTATTTTCAGTTCACCACCAAAAACCTAGAAGTGGGAGCTGTGGCTCAAGTGATAAAGTGCCAGCCTTGAACAAAAACTCAGGGACAGTGTGTGGACCCTGAGTGGACTAGTGCCCCAGGACCACCCCCCAACATACACACACACAAAACCACACACACACACACACCCTTAACTAAATATAAGAAACAACTCTCCTTGCAATGGGAATGATAAGCCATCGATACAAGTTCAAGCTCACACCTGTTAGTGTCCTAACTAATACTTTACTTCATTAGATGTTTACTTCCATACAATAATGGCCAGTGGGGGTGACTTAAGGTAGATATTGCTGTTAGTAACATTTTGAAGCATCTCCAAAATGCCAACTCCAAATTAAAACAATGGCAGCTCCCTGTGTGCTGTGGAAGAGGCAGGGACAGAGGCTGCGAGTTACAGCAATGCCTCAGTAGCGAAACAGCACAAAAGACAGGAAGAGGAGGCTCTTGCTCATCCCGCAGTCTCCACAAGGACCACAGCTCTACGCAACTGACACAAGAATTGTGACATAACATTACACACACACCAACACAGCGCGACATAGACACCAACCTTTACACCAACTTGAATCATAACAGACCCAAGTATTAAGCCATCAAAACAAAGGCAAGAGTAGCAAAAACACCTTAATTTCCTTATTTTAAACAAAACATAGAGAAGGGGGGAGGGGGGGTCAAGAAATCTGCACTGCCAGCAGGCATTCATGGTTCACTTGTATTCCTAACTACTAGTGAGGCAGCAATCCAGAGGACTGAGGTTCAAAGTCAGTCTGGCTCAAGGTCAGCTCTGGCACCAAGTCCTTGAGACCTCATTTCAGCCAATAAAATCTGGATGGTGTGGTGGCATTACTTGTCATCAGAGTTACATAGGAAGTGTAAAATGGAAGATTCTGGTCCAAGAAGAACCAAACAAATGTAAAACCCTACTTAAAAAATAACAAAGGCAGCCGGGCGCCGGTGGTTCACGCCTATAATCCTAGCTACTTAGGAGGCTGAGATCTGAGGATCATGGTTCAAAGCCAGCCCGGGCAGGAAAGTCCGTAAGATTCTTTGTCTCCAATAAACCACTAGAAAAACAGAAGTGGCGCTGTGGCTCAAGCAGCAGAGCGCTCGTCTTGAGCTGAAGAGCTGAGGGACAGATAGTGCCCAGGCTCAAGAGTTCAAGCCCCACAACTGACAAAAAAAAAAAGGCAATGAACTTTACACCTTGGGGGGGAGAGATACTGGGGGTGGGGGTTGGGAGAAAAATGAGGGAAGGGGCAATAAACGTCCATCAAGAAATGTACTCATGGGGCTGGGAAGGTGGCTCAGTGGTAGAGCGCTTGCCGTGCATGCCTGAGGCCCTGGGTTCGATTCCTCAGCACCACAAAAGCAGAAAAGAAAAGCCGGAAGTGGTGCTGTGGCTCAAGTGGTAGAGCGCTAGCCTTGAGCTGAAGAGCTGAGGGACAGAGCTCAGGCCCAGAGTTCAGGCCCCACGACCGGACCCCAAAAAAAAAAAAAAAAAAAAAAAAAAGAAATGTACTCATTACCTTATGTAGCTACAACCCCTCTGTACACCACCTTGACAATAAAATAACGAAGGCAAAAAAGGCTCAGGTAGTAGTGATTACCTACCAAGTACAGGGCCTGACGTCAACTCTAGTACCTCCAAAAAAGAAATCTGCAAGGCCTATTACTGCTCTGTTGTTTTAATTGTATTTCCTGTTGATAGGGTCAGATTTCCAAGTTCCTCCAAAAACTAAAACTAGACAGGGTCACTGATTTACAGGGAAAAGCACTGACAGGTAGCTGTAATTTCTTCGCTCCACATCCCCCCCAAAGTCTAGATATTTTCTGTGACTTAACTCAGTATTCAGAACATTTCCATAACCCTACCAAGATGATTACTCAGAGGGATTTCAAAATCTGTTTTCTCTGAATCTGCTCATTTTTAAGCTTTAATGAAAAAAGTAATTAACCTCCCCTGGTTTTGAAGAGGCTTTCCAAAACACTGCCAGGAATGGGAAGGTTGGGGTTTCCCTGGACACCCACACTTCTGCCTAGAAGCCTCACAATCAGTGCACAAGGTTCTAAATATTCCCCTTCAATATTAATGTCAACTTAGGGTCTTTCCTATACTTCTACAGGAAGTAGCCCCCCACAGATTCAAAATCTGACTGAGGTGGAAAAAGCATCAACATTCAAAGCCACCTTCCTCCCAAGTTAACACTGAGACACACAGATGCTGGTACAGGGGAGAGAGTGACAGTTCTTCAAGGAAATAAAGGAACCAAGGCATCAAGAACGATGGTTCATTCTTCAGCAAGCATAATTAAGAGGAAGTTTTGATCCCATGGCTGAACTCCATGTTAGCACTAGAGTAACAGCCCACCTGTGAAGTGGATACAGGAGAAAAGTCTGAAATTTCCCTGCTGGTTTTGTGTGGAAGAAGAAAAAAGAACATTACTCAATATAAATAGAAGCAAGGCCTCAAAGCGATAGTCAAGCAGAGACACAGGCAGTCTGCCTTCACAATGCCAGCACGCTGAGCAGGGCAAGTCTGTGCTCTCAACACACCGTTGGAAAAGCTACCACCTGGGTCCTCAAGCTGCCTGCTCATCAACTGCTGTGGGTGGAGGAGCCCTCTGAGTCCCTTGTGAGAGGCTGCAGCTGGGTTTACGGGTTTCACTCCTTCAAAGCACATGTCCTCCTCTTGATCTGACATGTATCCTGGGGGGCTGGGGACACCATCCAGCGTCACTATAAACTTGGGACTTGCAGGTTTATCTGGTTGTACAAGATCTCTGCCAGACAGACAAAAAATACCATAGAATTAGGGAAACAAACACAAAATGCTAAGCCTCTAAAGTATTCTTCAGCAGAACTACTACTCCCTCCTTTGCATCTGGTTCAGTGAAAAGTACTTGGTAGGATTTGCAGTCGAGTGCTAGTGGACTCCTGGCACCACACAATGCCACAGGCCAGCCACTGCGGCCCCACTGCCAGTGGCCCTCCAGGGTATACTTACTGAGGACAACCTCCCTCCACCATGACTCTGCTGTCCATTCGATCCCCATGGGATCAACATGGAAGTCAAACAAAACATTAGTGTGCACACGCAGAATACACTGGCTAACAGTTGTGTGTTTATCCATTATGTGTTCCTGCACTGAACACTTTTGGGAAGGACCACCCAAACCCCATTCACTAACTCTCTTAAGGAAAACTTCCTGCTTTTGGTCACCTGGTTTTAAAAATTCCATTTCATGAAGCCAGGCTCATACCTGTAATCCTAACCACTCAAGAGGCTGAGATCTGAGGATCACGATTTGAAGCCAACCTGAGTAGAAAATTCTGCTGTGAAACTCTTACCTCCAGTAAACCACCAAAAAAAAAAGTCAAACATGGAGCCATGGCTCAAGTGGTAGAATGCAATCCTTGAGCACAAAAAGTTCAGGGACAGCACCTCAGGTCCAGACTTCAAGCTCAGGGACTGGCACACACACACACAAAAATCCATTTCATGAATGTGCAGAAGCTTTAGTTTACTCAAGTTACTAAACCAAATGAGCTTTTATCTGTATTTGTATTTTAATGGATTTCTGAACAACAGAAATAATCAGCCAACTAGTCATGGCCTAGCTAATGAGCCAATAAAAATACTACAAGCCAGGGCAGGGAGGAGGGGACTCGGAGAACTAGCGTTGGCCTGAGCTATCTAATCACATAAATTAACTACACAAGAAAAATAAACCATCTACCGTGTCTGCATAAGGTGTCCTGAAAGTACCCGAAGGGTATCTGCAGTCTTCATCCCCGACTCTTGGTTTGGTGCCACTACTATTTCCTCAGACAGCTTTGGCTTCTTCAGAATAAATGATCTTGTGTCTGCATGGACCATGGATTCCATGTCATAGTAATCTGAGCCAAAAAAATTGGCCACAAATGTTTACTTTTGAATATACCTTTCATTCCCAACATCATACATGTGAGGAGAATGTCAGTCTTTTATATATTCTTAATTACTGGTCAAGGCAAATCATAACTAATTCTATACAGGAATAGGGTTATAAGTCCATTCCAAACAGCTTTTCAAAGAACTCAAGTGGTTCTTTCCTCATACGGCACTAGAAGAGAGGAAGGCTCTTGTGATGGCATCTGCTGGGAGGTGAAAAATACACACTGAAAGAAAAACAGCTTTTTCTAAAATCAGGGAGAATTTAGGAAACTTAATGTCCCTTATTCATGTTTGCATAGTACCAATTCAAAACATGATAAACCTAAAAGCGTAGAATAGATATGGCTGACCTATTCATATGTGAGCATAATGTTTCTTTTAAGGATAAGAAATAAATCATAGGGACCAAAATTCACAGAACAGTCATTCACCAAATATCTACTCAACTAAGCCCAACTGTGCCAGGTACACAAAGAAAAAGGAAAAGAAGCGCACACAATCCCTGAACACCAGGATCCATAAAGGGTCTGAACAAGTGTTAGCAGAGTACAAAGCAACCAATCTCCAACTGAGGTGGGTATGAAAGATCTGAGCGGGAATTACTGAGGAGAGAGAGCGCTTCAAGCAGAGTTAGCAGCGCGTGGAGAAAGGCCGGGCCCTTCACAGGCACCTGAGGGAGGGTGACCGGGAGGATGGGGCTTGGCAGGGAGGGGCCACGGCAGCTAAGGGACGAAGTAGCCTCTTGCCTCAATACTTTCAACTGTAGAAGTAAGTGGAGAAACAAATCTAGAAGTAACTGGAAACCAAGAGATTCCTAAGGGGGAAGTGACATGGTTAAGTTGGGCTTTAGGAAAGAAATGACGTTTTGGAATCCCCCCTCGAACACACTGAGGGGGAGAGAGGACATCTCCACCTTCTCCTCTCTGCAGGCCTCCACAGCAGCTGCCATTTCAATCACCTTGTAAGAAGGGGCAGGTGCCCGCTAGGAAGGCAGGACAGACAGCAAGGGGAAAGAGACGGGGGAGAGCAGGAAGAACAGAAACTTGACAGGTGTATAGGAGAAAGGGGAAGAACCGATTTACAAGATAGCAACGACAAATTTCACTGTTTGATGTACTTGGTCTCAAGTCTTTGTGGGGCTCTTGCACAGTAGGAAGACGGTGGACATTCAGAATCTGGTCCTCAGGAAGGGGACAGACATCGGGAGGCAGAGGTGAAATCAGTGTTTAGCTGTGTGCTCACAGTGCTACTCTCATGGAGTCCTCTCAGGAAGCCTGAGGAGAGGACTTAGATACAAACAATACTGCCCTCACAGGGCAGGGGCAGAAAGGAGCTGACCAGAGAATGCGGTGGGATGAGAGGAACACAGTGTGAAATCCCGACAGCCGGAGGTTGAGACTGAGGCAAGCGCAGGCGCGTGGGTGCCAGTCACACCTGGCAGCACCCAGCCAAGGACGCACTGAAAGCAGCTTTCCAGCCACACGTGCCCTGCCACTTCTGTAAGCTTCAGAGCAACAGCGGGATCATGAGGAAGCCAGACCGAGGGGCAGGGCGCCATCCCTTGACAGACTGCAGGTTAAAACCGTGCATTCACTCTTCCTTCCTGAAGTGCGACACCGATTCCAATAAAAACTTGTTTTAGCAATCAAGAGGGTCGCAGCTGCCAGGCAGACCCTATACCATTAAAGGCGTACCCCCAGCCCCTTTGAGTTTCCATGATTTTCCAGGCAGGATGTCACTTCTGCCAGTGGCACGTCAAGACTGCAATCTTCCTACCTCCTTGTAGCGTGAAACAGCTGTGTGCCAACACGGCCAGTTTCCCGGCTGGGACCAGGTCTCACTACCTTGATCCTCTGGATCTGCCTCCTACAAGCTGGAATTACAGGCATAGCCCAGTGCACCTAGCCCAAGATTAAAAAAAAAAAAAAAGCATATACCCCTCCCAAAGAAAGTAACTATAGAGAGAAAACCACATTTTGGAAGAAAAACATGATTAGGAACTAACAGCAAATCTGTAAAAACTGAGTTCTAGGCAAGGAGCAAAACAATCCAACTCAGAGCAAAAGGTTCTCCAAAGCCTTCGGAGGGGATAAAGAGAAGTAGAGTTTAAAAGTATAGTAGAGGATCCGTGCCAGAAGCAGTGAAACCTTCCTGAAGTCCATTCACTTATTTTCTTTCCTTTGATCCTTAACACACCTACCCCTACCATTCCAATGAAGATTTCAGAATGACTGGAGATGGGCTTCCTGCTGATCACTGTTAAGAGGCCAGCAATAAGGCATCATGGCCTCTGATAGTGAGGTACCACAACAGAATAACTGAAGTGTATACCATTACCGTTGCTGTTACAAAGGCAGCTGTGTCCTGCCTTGGGTTATCTCCCAAGTCTGACCAATGAGACACAAGAAGGTTCTTCTAGGGTATGTGGAGCTTCAGGAGCTCTGGTGTGTGGGGAGAGGCTTTGCCTCTAGGAAAGTCACAAACAATGTATACCCCTCCTTCCACTAAACTGGATACGGTACTCAGAACTTTTGCCACCATCTTGCTATCAAGCTGAGAAAGACATCCACTGACGGCAGAGCACAGGAAGAAAAACTGCCCGAATGTCACTACTGAATAGCATTCCTAATATATCAGACAATAAATTCCCTACTGTCTAAGAAAAACAATGGCAGCATTCTTGATACCCTTTATCCATTTTATACATCCACCCTTGGAAAAAGTAAGGCTTAGGATTCTTGAGAAGACCAACACAGAGTGACTACCTTCACAAGGGACGCCATGCTCAGCCAGATCCACAGTAAGACGGGGAGGGGAGTGCTAAGTGAATGTTGCATTAATAATGCGTGCCCTCTCCCAGCCCTCTTTCTCCATTGAATAACCTGAACTCTGGCAACCAGAATAGTACATGAAAGAGCTTTGTTGAGCTGACCAGGCTGAGAGAAAAGGCCTTAAGGTACTGACATCAGGATGCCCCCACATCAGGCTGCCACGATAAATCCACAGGATCTACCTTCAAATATGGATCTACCCTCCCATGTTCCAGCCCCAATTCATGAACTCAACCTGCCAGGTCAGCTTTCAACAGATAATAAGGACCCCAACAGCCAAAACCAACCTGGAGAAAAAAACAGCACCAAGGAGGAAAAGGAAAAAAAACAAGTCAAAAACCACCTTTAATATCCTCAGTGAAATAGTTTCATACACATGAAGCAAAATGAGTATGCTTTAAAAAAAAACAAACCATGCAGAAAGAGACAGGCCCTTAGAAATAAAGGCGTGATAGGAATGAATTAGGAACTTCAGAATGTGGTCATTTATAAGCCTTTCCACTACTTGATGCTTCAAGCTGTATGTACAGAGTAAAATGAAAAAGTAAATAAAAGATGCCCAAGAGCTGATGAAGTAGCATAACATACATGGACTGCAGCCCCCAAACTCTTTCAAATATGATGTCCAAAGCAGGATGGAATGTCGGAAGGTAAAGGCGGGTAAAGTCAGGATAAAGGGAGCAGCAGAGCAGCAGCATGAGGTGGCCAGAGGGATGGAGCACGTGATCAGCTCATCAGACGGGAAGGGCTTTGGCACCTGGTGCAGGTATCCTTTAGGCCGGAAAAGCACATCCATCTGAGACAACAGCTGGGAACTCTACCTACTGTTAAGTCTTGGCTGAGGGAAAAGAAAATTCAGGGAAGAAGGAATCAAGAGACCAGAGCCTCCAACAAAGGGCAGACTTAGGGGAAACAAGAAAGGAATAAAGTACCTAGTATGGTGGTTCACACTTTAATCCTAGCACTCAGGAGGCTGAGGCAGGAGGATTCAGAGCTAGAGGCTGGGAGGCTACAGAACATGCATCTGGCAGGGGCTGAGCACTGAGGATAGAGATAAATATGGAACTCACCCAGTTCTGAAGCTGCCCCAATAGCATGTGTATCGGAGGTAGGCGAGACCAACAAGTATGACAGTAGTTCTAGAACAAGTTCTAGGTATGGCCTCTGCACTAAGATCCTAAAGTGAAGTCAGAGTGAGGGTAAGGTGAATATTGAAGCAGCTCGAAACAATGGCTATGATCAGGTTAGAGAGGCAAATCAGGGCTTAAGTGTTCTGATAGCAAGCGAAAACAGCCAGGGCTACAAGGATGGCATGAATAGAACAAAATAAGGCAAAAAAAATAAGAACATCACACAAACATGAAGAGAATGCAAATCTTATCTCCTGGCCCTCAAGTATTTTCAGAGAGCTAGTTGGCATCTTAGGGCAGGATCTGAGAGACACAGGATGCACTGAATGAGCTGTACAAATGCAGGTGGCAACGGAAAACTGCTGTCTTATGGTGGAAATGTAAAGCCTCCTTACCTTGGCTAAGTTCCAGCGTCTCTGCCATGACCGGGTCGATGTGCAGTCGGGGCAACAACTGCCTCTGCTGAGCTCCTACAACACAAATTCAAAGCCTCACTGAGCCCGAGGACAGAGCGCCGGCACCTGACCCTCAGACAGCCTTACAAATAAAGCTTCGACAACACGATGGTACTATGCACACGCCACAGAATACCCTTGCAAGATAAAAAGTTTCACTGAGGGTGAAACCAACAACCGCAGTGAGGACACCCCTAGTTCTCCCTGGGAGAGAAGTCAGTCTGCAGGAGAAGTGAAGGGCAAAACAGTCAGGAGGAAATCTCTCACAGGCCACGGGCCTTGGGACAGAGCTATGCTGACACTGTGTGACAAACCTGCCGAGTTCCTCTGCAGTCACCTGAACACTCACCAGAACTACCACTCCCGCGTACTGGAGGATAACAAACCTTGGCAGAGAATTCCGAAGGGCAAACAATGGGCATAGATAAATGGAAAAGAACAATGAACAAGTATGACACTCAGAATTCTGCTATCCAAAGCCCTGGGGGGGGGGGGGGGGGGGGGGGAAGGGGGGCAGGATATAAAAATCAAGTCCAGAATCACCCACTGCTGTATTTGAGAGTGTTCCTACTATTCAGTGAGGCACAAATGTAACTGTTTAAATTTCTCATACATACGAGTATGAGGCTAAGCGCAGGTGGCTCACTCCTCTAATCCTAACTGCTCTGGAGGCTGAGATCTAAGGATCACAGTTCAAAGCCAGCCCAGGCAGGAAAGTCCATGAGACAGTCATCTCCAGTAAACCACTGGAAAACTGGAAGTGGTGCTATGGCTCAAGTGGGTAGAGCACTAGCCTTGAGCTGAAGAACTGAGGGACAGCGCCCAGGCCCAGAGGTCAAGCCCCACAACCAACCCCCCCCCAAAAAAGTACAAATATTATTTCTTAAAGATGTTTACAACTCTTAAGTTCTTAATATTACAAAATATTCCTAATGAGATTGATGAAGCAAAGTTTATCTTCATAAACTACTTGGATAGAATGCTGCCACACTTCTTTCTCCATGTCCCTAAAACTGCTTAGCAGATATCAGGTACCCATTTGATAATTAAGTGCTAAGGTCTCTAGTACTCAAGTCTCAGTAAGATGCTACATGCCAACTTGAGGATATCTAGCATGTGTGGTTTTGCTAGGACAGGCTCTGCTTATTCTGAACAAACTTGTAAGTGGGCCTAGTACCATATTTTATTAAAAGGTGCTTAAATTTTAAAAGGTACATGTGATTTGATCGACTATAGAATATTTTTCTTTTAAAACGTTTGTTAAATTCCTCTTCAGCAGTATGTACAAAAAAAGGTAATTCCTTTATTATCATTGCCAAAACAAATTTCAAGAACAGATCTGGAAATCATATGACATTTGGTCAAGATATATTCCTGTGGTTACAAAAAAAATGCTTACAATCCAAACACTAGAAGTAAACAGAAAAATATGAAACATCTAAAAATAATTTCACACAAAGAAGGCCATTTTCTCACATTCAAGTTGCTGCTTCGTCTCTATTCTTATCTACCTTTTCAAAACATCACTTGAAGCCTGGTGTTGGGACAAATATCTATAATCCCAGCTATTAGGTACCGGGGAGCCCGAGGAAAGAGGATCAAAGCATCATAAAACTGAGGTCAGGGCAGAAAACTTGATACAAGATGGTATATCAAATTATTTTTTTCTGAAGTGGTAGGGTACCAGCCGTGAGTGAAAAAGCTAAGTGAGAACACAAAGCCCTAAGTTTGGGCCCCAGTACTGGTCAAAAACAAAAACCAACCAAACAAACAAAAAAAACCCACCAACTTTAAATGATTCAGAATGTAGAGTGCTTGTTTTACATAAGGCCCTAAATTCAATCCCCAGTACCACAAAGCAACCACAAAGCACTCAAAATATTTTAGCTTATACTAAACACGATATCATCCTGATAAATTTTAACTTTCTAAGGTATATAAATCATAGAACCCAAACCAATGAAGACTTCTCTATTTTGCTGCTTCTATACCACAATAGCCAGGATGAAGATCAAAGCAGTTTACCTTTCTCAATATCTCTAAGGAAGCCAATTATTTTTACACCAGTAGCTCTTGGTTGTGATTCAAAGTCAATTCCCTCTTGAAAATCTTCAAACTGCCTGTTGCATTCAGGTGTTGTTGCCGAATATTCATTCATCTTAACCTCCAAAGATGAAATTTTTGCTTCATTCTGGGACACTCTAACATTTATATCAAAAAGATTTGCTTCCACTGTCAAAATTGCTGCTTTCATTCCTTTGATTTCATTGATGTCAGCTGATATTTTCTTTAAGAGGTGGGAAATATTGTCTAGCTCATTCAGTGAACAAGAAGAGCTTGTTACAGAACCTAAATCAGCCCGCTCTGGTGAAAGGCAAACTGGTGGAGATGGGAACCTTGAAGACATTTTCATAAAATTCTTTCTCTCCTAGGTCTCTAGTAATTTTTCCTTTACATCTCATTAAATCTCTCATCAAAAGTAAAAACAGTGATAAATGCTACCTGAAGAAAAATGAAATGTAGCATTTTAAAACCTATAACTGAAAAACTAAGGTTGTACATTTCTAGAGTCAGAATTCAAAGTAAATCTGAAATTGCTAAATATACCAGTCCAATTTTCTCTTTGCTACAACTATTCTCACTAGCAGCATCCTAGTACATAGCCACCTACATCCTGTAAGTTCTACTTAGAGCTCTTTGGCAAATAAGCCCTATTATTACATATCAAATAACCCTGGCTGCTGATTGGCTACAGACATGTGACACAAAAAGAATGCTCAATTACTTACTTCATGTGATGCGAACACAAAAGGAGTTGTACTGTAAATTTAGAGCATAACACTATCTTTCCCCTTTGTCCATTCAACTATAACTTCCAAGCTTTATACTAGTATTTGCTTTGTTATATCTGAAGTTTAATTTCCCCTTGAAAATAATGCAGGACAGTCAGTTATGTTCTTGCACTGTCAAGGCCAAGAAAAGGAGGGAAGGTGGTGTGATGGGACTCATGATCACAGAAAAAACTCTAAAAATATACATGGTCATCTGGGCATCAGTAGCTCACACGTATAAGCTTAGCTACTTGAGAGTCTGAAAACAAGAGAATGCTGGTTCTAGGCCAGCCTGAGGAGAACAATTTCTAAGACTTCTCAAGGCACATGTGAGAGTGACGGTGCATATGTGTCATGCTAGCTGCAAAACGAATCCTAACATAGTCGATCCCACACTGGCAATGCCTGGGCAAGAAGCAAGACTCTACTTTGAAGATAACAGTGGGAAAAACAAGGGTTAGGGGCATGACCAGTGATACCTGCCTAGACAAATTCAATCCAGGTGAGGGAGATAAAAGCACCGTATGTATCCGGTCAGAATAACATTCAACTGCACTGACGTTACGATGGCGTGAATTTAAGAATGGGGAAGGTAAGAACTCTACCTTCATTTGATGACATCATTTGATAGGGTGTTCTCAAATATTTCCTCCCATTTTGTGTTTTTGAGAGGACACAGAAGTCTCCAGGACCTCACAGTTGGCATACCCTGGCCCTCTTTCCACTTTCATGATAGTATTATTTGAAACACAGGTTTGTTTTTCTTACCACTCTTACCACTGTGCATGACTCCATCCCTTTCTACATTGGTTATTTTTAAGACATAGTTTTTCTTCCTGCCCAGAGGTACATCTAGACTTTGATCTTCCTATTTGCCAAGGTAGCTAGAATAACAAATGAACACTGTAGACAACTTCTTTGGTGGGATGAAGTCTCCCTTGTTTATGTAGAGGCTGGCCTAGAACTATAAGCCATCCAATCTCAGCCTCCCAAATGGCTGGGATGACTGGGATGACAGGAGTATAGCACTTCACCCACTTACTGGACGAGTAGGGAAGCCATATGGACATGGACGTCTGTGCTGCTTCTGAAACTTGATCGTGTATCTCAGCCTCCCAGGGAGCTAGGATTACAAACATATGCCACCAATGTCTGTCTCAAGGTTTTAATTTTGAAGAAATTCAACATATCTTTTCTTTGTTTCATTGTGCTTTTGAAATCATATCTAAGAAACCATTCCTTAGTCCAAGATCATGTAAATTTAGACCTCATTCTTTCCCTAAAATTTTTTATAGATCTACTCTTTTGGGGGGGAGGGGGGCCAGTTGTGGGGCTTGAACTCTGGGCCTGAGCACTGTCCCTCAGCTCTTCAGCTCAAGTGAGCACTCTACCACTTGAGCCACAGTGCCACTTCTCATTTTCTGAGTGGCTTATTGGAGATAAGAGTCTCTCCAACTTTCCTGCCTGGGCTGGCTTTCAACCATGATCTTCAGATTTCAGCCTTCTAAGTAGCTAGGATTATAGGTTTGAGCCACAGACACCCGGCTTAACTTTTAAATAAAGGTCTTTGTTCCACTTTGAATTAATTTTTATACACTATATTTGGAAAGGCTCAAATTCATTCTTTTGTGTATACACATCCAACTGTCTGGTACTATTTATTAAAGAATATTCCTTTTCTGCTAAATTCTCTTATTGCCTCCATCAAGAATTGACCTTAGTCAGGTGCTAGTGGCTCATGCCTATAATCTTAGCCACTCAACAGACTGAGATCTGAGGATCACCATTTGAAGCCAGCCTGGACAGAAAAGTCTGTGAGATGCTATCTCCAATAAACTACTCAGAAAAGGCTGGAAGTGGTGCTGTGGTTCAAGTGGTAGAGTGCTAGCTTTGAACACAAAGAGGCTTGGGGACAGCGCTGGAGCCCTGTGTTCAAGCCCCAGGACTAGGGGGATAAAAACTGACCCCAAATGCACTAATTTCTAAATTCTCAATCCTGTTCCATTGATGTGTTTACCAAGATGATTACCACAGCTTTGTACTTCAAGTTTTAAAATTGAGATACATAACCTCCAACACTGTTTCTGTAGTTTGGGCTATTCTAGGTCCCTTTTTATTTCCATGTGAATTTTAGGATTAGCAAGGATTTCAACAGAAATTGGAAATTTGTAAAACAAAAAAAGCCAGTAGGATTTCAACAGAAATCGAGTTAAAACTGTTGAGCAACTTGGGGACTCTTGTTATCTTAACAATACATAGACTTACCAATCCACCAACCTGGAAAATCTTTCCATATCCTTAGTCTGAGTAGTTATTTTCACTCTGGTTTACTCTAAGCAACAGGTAAACTGACTTATAAGGACATAAATTGGTGAACATTATTCATCACAGGCTCTTCAAAAGAATTCTTTACAAAAAACTATCACTCATAGCAGTAGGAAGGAGGGCAAAGGGCACTCCTGGAACTGATGTGACAATCTTTATTCATAACCTGACTCTTTGAATTTTGATTCAAACAGAAAATATGCAAAGCCGACAGTCTTCGGCTTTGGGGTGTGTTGCTCATTTTGCTGGTTCAAGTCTAACCACAAGGGCCTCACTCTCAGGTCATCTGCTTACAGCTGGCTGGCACTCTACAACTTAAGCGTTGCTCCAGCCTAGCTTTCTGCTGGTTCACTGGAGATGGACTCTTACAGACTTTTCTGCCTGGGGAACTCCATACTGCAATATTCCAGGTCTCAGCCTCCTGAGGAGCAAGGACTGCAGATGTGAGCCACCAGCAGTCAGCCTCAAACAGAATTTTTTAGAGTACTAACATGACATTTAAGCAAAGCATCATCTACAAACCAGGTAGCTCTCCAAAAGGCAGTTAACTATCTCAATGAGAAAAGGAGAAAAGTTACTTGATAGAGAAACAAGACACCTAACAGAGTCTGTGGATGCTTACTTACCATATAGCCTATGGTGCCTTAAGTTTAGGATATAAAGTAGTAAAAGGCCCTTCCAAACTAGGTATGACACAAGGCCTGTAATCCTCACTACTTGGGATATAGAGATGGGAGGATTATGAATTTGCCAGACCAGGCAAAGATGTAAAGACCCTGTCACAAAAATAAAACAAACAAGCTGGGTGCTGGTGGCTCATGCCTGTCATCCTAGCTACTCAGGAGGCTGAGATCTGAGGATCATGGTTCAAAGCCAGCCTGGGCAGGAAAGTCCATGAGACTCTTATCTCCAATAAACCACTAGAAAACTGGAAGTGGTGCTGTGGCTCAAGGGGTAGAGTGCTCGCCTTGGGCTGAAGAGTGCAAGGACAGCACCTAAGCCTAGAGTTCAAGCCCCACAACCGACAAAAAATAAATAAAAATAATAAAAAATAAAACAAAATCGACTGGGGCTATTGCTCAAGTGGTGAGAGCAATTTACCTGGCATGTACAATGCCCTAGGTTCAATCCCCAGGATCCCCAAAAAGCCCTTTCAAATATTGCAATGTAACTATACATCAGCAGAGAAAATTTACACATTTCAACATTTACTCTTCACAAAAATGCTATCCCTCGGGCTGGGAAGGTGGCTCAGTGGTAGAGAGCTTGCCTTGCATGCCTGAGGCCCTGGGTTCGATTCCTCAGCACCACATAAGCAAAAAGTAAAAAGCCGAAGTGGTACTGTGGCTCCAGTGTTAGAGCGCTAGCCTTGAGCTGAAGAGGTGAGGGACAGCGCCCAGGCCCAGAGTTCAGGCCCCAGGACCGGACCCAAAAAAAAAAAAAAGCTCAAGGGCAGTTATTCAAGCCCTGAATTCAAACCCTAGGACTGGAACAGGGTGGGGGTGGGGGGGCGGAGGGGGAGGGGGAGAAAAGACACAGATTAATGAAAGATTCAGGAAGTTTATCATCCTAGAGAACTTCTAGAATAAGAGAATAATGACAACGGAGAGGGGTGTAACTTGGTTTTCTTTTTGAAGCCAAGGTCTTGCCCTTCTAGAGAGAAAAGGAAGCCCCAGCCCAGCTCTTTCGCTTTGTTTTTTCAGCTGGGTCTCCTATTTTTACCCGGGGCAGCCCTGGAGGACAGTTCTCCCACTTCCAAATAATGAGCAGCTGGATTACAGTTGTATACCACCACACCTGGTCCACACCTGGTCCACACCTGGTCTTAAGAAGAGCAGATTTTTCAACCAATATGCCAAGTGTGGTGATAGGTACTTTTTTTTTTTGCCAGTCCTGGGGCTTGAACCAGGGTCTGAGCTTCTTTTTGCTCAAAGGTAACTCTACCACTTGAGCTACAGCACCACTTCTGGCTTTTTCTTGGTACTGGGGAATCAAACCCAGGGTTTCATGCTAGGCAAGCACTCTACCACTAAGCCACATTCCCAGCCCTGGTACATACTTTTTATCCTAACTACAGGAGGCATAAGTAGAAGGATCAAGGAACGGATCTATCTAGTTCAAAAATCAAGACCTACATGAAAAATAATCTAAAACAAAAAGGGCTAGAGGCATGACCCAACTGGTATAGTCCTTATTTAGCAAGTACTAACCTCAAAATGGAGATACAAGGCTTTCTATGATTACAGCATTCGTTTTTTTAATTAAAAGGATGTAAGGCCAAATGCTGGTAGATCACACCTGTAATCCTAGCTATTCAAGAGTTGAGATCTGAGGAGTGCAATTCAAAGCTAAACTGAAAAGGAAAGTCTGAGATTCTTATCTCTAATTAAATATCAAAAAGAAAAGAGGAAAGAAAAGAACTGGAAGTGGACCTGTGGTTCAAGTAGAATACTAGCCTTGATACAAAAGCTCAGAAATAGTACCTAGGCCCTGAGTTCAAGCCCCAGGACCGTCACACTCACACTCACACATACAAATGAAACCACTACTCCGCCTAAAAGTGGCAGGTATCTAGGCATATCACAGTAACACTGCAGACCTAAAACAAGGGAAAATACTAAAAATTCCAGAGGGAAAATCCCCCAAGTATTAGCCAAGCACAGGGGCATGTACACCCTGTAGTCCCACTACTCTGCCAAATAGGCAGGAAGATCATCTAAACTCAGGAATTGAAAGCCAGCCTGAACTGACAAGACTATGTAAAACAAAATCTAAAACTTTTTAAAAAGTAAGTTGTTCAAGGATAGTGCTCTACCACTTTGAGCCACAGCTCCACTTCCAGTTTTTATGTAGTTAACTCATAAACTTTCCCATCCAAGCTAGGTTTGAATCATGATCCTCAGATGTCAGCCTCTTGAGTAGCTAGGATTACAGGTATGAGCCACCAGTGCTTGGCTAGCCAAGTACATTTTTAAATGCTGTACTGAGCTCCTGTAGATACTATCAGTTTCCTTACTACATAATGAAAAGGTGGGAATGCCCCAGGAAGCCCGCGAGAAGCAAGAAAGCAGAGCTCACCTAAGGGAGGAGTAAGCAGTCCTGGGAAAATGGTGGGTGGCTGTGAGGCAGGCAGGCCTGGGGAGCAACATTAGGAGACAATCAAGGATGAGGTGCCTAGGCAAAAAAGGGGGGTGACAAAGATTCCACAGCAGAAAGATATTAAGAGTTTTCAGTAGTAAGAAAGGGAAGGCAATCAAGAAGGGAAAAATCCAAAGAGGGAAAAAATAAGAACCCCTAAAGAAAAACTGACCTCTGTAGGGCTGGGAATTTGGCTAGTGGTCGAGCGCTTGCCTAGCATGCTTGAAGCCCTGGGCTTGATTCCTTAGGACCACATAATCAGAAAACGTTGGAAGTGGCGCTGTGGCTCAAGTGATAGAGCACTAGCCCTGAGCAAAAGCAGCTCAGGGAAAGCGCTCAGACCCTGAGTTCACACCCCAGAATGGCAAAAAAAAAAAAAAAAAAAAAAACCCTCTGTAATGAGTGTTTTTTAAATCTTAATAGAAATGCTGCTTATTTATCCTCAAATCATGAATCTGCAAATCATAATGACCTTTACAAGGAAAATAAACAAAATTTAAATTTCAAGCCACACAATGGTGGTTCATGCCTATAATCCTAACTATTCAAGAGGTTAAGATTTGAAGATCACAGTTCAAAGCCAGGCCTAGCATGAAAACCCATGTATCTCCAATTAACCATCTAAAAATTGGAAGTGGTTCAAAGTGATAGAGCACTAGT